TGCATATTCGTGCATATTTCAATTGAATCAATGTTATATGGTAATAACTGGCAGTGGACATTCTTTCCAAAGTTTTATGAATCGAAATCACAGAATCGTCACAGTCAGCTGGCAATAATAAAATAAATGCGATATTTACTATATGGGGTCGCCATCTTGAATGTGGCATGAAACTTAATAAGAGACAACGCTTTTTTCAGATTCCTATCAATCAGAAAAAAATATTAATCTTTCACAGCCAAATATCTGTTTGGGCAACAATAGGCCAACCACTAACAAAATTCATCCAAATTTGTCGGTTGTGTGTAGACAAAACACCTAATTACACGAAGAACATAATATGCTCTCTTGGTGTATTTGAAACCAAACATTCATCAAGAGCAGATGCATTATAAAAAGATGGACAGGATCTTAGGCAAGACATGTTCATGATGAAAGTTATATCCTGACCAATAACACATGCGCATGCGCAGGTGTCGAAAAAAACGATGATTTGTGTAACACTGGCAGGGCACAACGTTTTTACCACGAAAGAAAATAAATTGACAGAAAGAACCGCCTAAGGCATGATAATATCGTATACAAGGGGTGAATATTATATGAAATATGATATTACCTTCAGTTTCCAAGCATGGATTTAATAAAGGCCATAACTGTAGAAATCAATTGGGAATTCCGTGTGAATCAAGAAACCATGTCTTGCTCCTTGGCACAGAGTTGGTGTTAATTTCATAGGGTATATTTACTAGATCGAATCATTGTAGGAGTATATCTATTATTGTGTTTTTTTCCGGTACGAACATCGGCAAGAATTTTGTTTGATGAAATTATATATAGACACGTGTCTCTTGTCTCTCTTCGAAATAATTAAATAAACATGAATGAATGTTTACATTATGGATTAACTAATCCTGTGAAGAAGAGGGTGATTATTTTCATCTAAATGAGCAAGCCCCTTAAGATCTAGAGAAGAATTTAATTCGCATTACAAGCTCATATAAAGCAAAGATATGGCGACGAAAGAGGTTAATTCGTTGTTTAGAAATAGTTGAAAGAAAGTAGGAGGAATTCGGTGTGAACATATTTAACTGCTAATTTTATAGTGAACCTGCTGTGAAATTCAACATGTAAATCACATGGGCGTGTACACCGATTTCATTTGATATGTTCTAGAAACCGTCTGTGCAGTCGAAAGATTATATCCTCAGTTCGAATTATGAAATCGTGTTGGAGCGTATAGATAACAGTTTTGCACCATACGTTTTGTGATCTCCTATGTAGACACACCTAATATAAGGTTGGACTTAATCCCCCTGATTCTACAAAGTTATGAAGAGTATATGGTATGCTAAAATTTGTTGAACAGCAGGGCGGGTATTATATTTCCAATACCTCGAGGAATGAACGAGCAATCCGCGTGATATTTTTGGATTAGAAAGACAGACAACAGAAGAGAATCGACAAAAGTTGCGACTGTTAGATTTTGTGGGAGAAATATCAAAGACACTACTTGAGACAGCCACCGTGACGTCAAATGACGGGAACATAATGCGAAGGCCAGGCACGTGGTGGCATCGCAAAATTCTGCAGGGGTTATAGCAAGTCAAATTGTCACCTACAAGGAAGAAATAGAAGAATCAATAACGATCTTAACGAAATTAAAGAACATCACAAATGGAATATACCACTGTATCGAGTTTAGCAGAATGGAGAGAAATCTTGGATTTCATGGCGAGAAACTTTATAGAAAAATAAACACGATGTGTAGCACGTATCGGATGTTTCGTTCCAGCGACTATTAGAGATACACGCCGTAGGGTGGTGTCAACTGACACATTGTTACAATAAAAATACGCATGCGCGAGTTTTTGGGGGACTCATTGAAAACGATAAGGAAAATATACAACAGAATTACTCAAATTTCGATTAAACGTATATCAATCTGGCACATTAATGTCATAGCATGGAAGTAACTTTTCGGCGATTACACTAACAATTTACTATATCTTAGTTTAGTTTATCGCATAGCAAAAGGTCATTGGCCCGAAGAGCAAATACAAATACATTAAGTCCTTGCAATTGTAACAATGAAATACATTCAAGTTTTGCTTTTCATGGCAACATAAATAAAACTAGCTAACTGGTTTAAATTGATTTCTTGAACTTAGTACAAAAGCACACAGTTCTGCTCTAATACTGAGATAACGGGGGCAAATGACTGTAAAATGATATTCATCCTCAATATAAAATTGACTGCGTTCAACGCAGTTTTCACAAATCTATTATCAAGAGGTACATTTTCATTTCTTCCTTTTTTCAATACGCAAATCTGGAAATTGTCTGACGGTATATACACAACTGCTAACAGAATATCTGTGTTGATTACAATTCTAATAATTGTGAGAAATGACATAATCGAAATATTTTAAATTAATACCCGCGTGCCACCATCATATGATGTACTAGTAAATTGTAAGGCCCAATGTTTTGATAGTAGACCTGCTATGAATGGGCGGGCTAAAATCACTTCACGTTTCACAATCTTTGGTGTAAATGACTGGCTAAGTGCTGTTCTTTCTGCCAGTGTAACTGTCATGTAAACATGCGAGAAGTATTTTACGTAAAGACCTTATACTATGACAATAAGGCTGGGATTCGTGATAATTTTGTGATAAACGGGGACGGCAGTATTTCAGTAAAAAATAACGGAATGAACGACTGTCAATCCGTTCGCTGTACTGCTATCGTGTATAGTTCGCGTTAACCTCGTAATTATTACTACCTTATACTAAAATATGTTTGGATATTTAGAATAGTAAAAAA